TTTTATTTGATACAAAATAAAATAAAAGGGCTGAGGAGATGGCTCTGTAGCAAAAAGGAAGTGAATTTGAGTCACTCACAGAATCCACTTGACAAAAATCAAGTATGATGACATACACCGGACTCCGGGACCTTGGTGGAGGTGAGGTGTGGTGGGGTTGGATCCCTCTCTGTCCAGCCAACCTAGCTTACTCGGGGAGTTCCAGGCCAGTAAGAGCCCCTGTCTTAAAACAGACAGACAGACAGACAGGAAGGCAGACAGCTCCTAAGACACCAAAGGAACTGCACCAGAGGGTGTGATCTGGTCTCTACATCCAAGACCACACATATACACAAATAACACAGAAGAAAGGTGGAAGATTAAACTAGGGACAAGATAACTGAGAGAAGACAGGAGCAAACATGGCCAAGAAAACCCTAAATATTCATTGTAACAGCAGATGAAAGGAACCAGGAAGTATTTCTGGTCTGTAAGAAAGTCACCTTTATATAGAAAGATGCCTGCCAACCAGACCGGACAGACACAGCAGGCAGAAAAACAGTAAGAGTGTATTTAAATTCAACAGAGCCAGCAAGCATCTGTGTATAGTTGACATCTATGGTCTACTTCATCCAACAGCAGCAGCATACACAACCTTCCCAAATTCAGATGGGACGTTCCTCAAGATAGACCACATTCTGGAGTGTCAGGTGCACTTTAAAAATTAAAAATAATGGAAACCATATGCCCTGCATTCTCAGATAACACAGTTAAAACCCCAAAGTCAGTAACAGAAAGGCAGCCATAAAGCCTCCCGCTTCCCCCAAATTCCCTTGGAGATTAAATAACATACTTCTAAAAACAGAGGGTCAAATATAAAATCCCAGTAGAGAAATGAATTAAAATGAGTAATTATCAGGATTTATGGGATGCATCTAAATTGTCTGTAGAAGGCAATTTATGATGTCAAGTGCATGTTCTGTAAAGAAGAAAGACCTTGGATCAACATCTGAATCATCTACACTAAAACACTTGGAAAGACAATCCAGAGTAAGATACAAGACAAGCCAGAGCAGAAACCAGTGAAACTGAAAATAGAAAACAGATATGACTGACAGTGATGTGTTTGTGTATCAGATTCACAAAGGGTGATGTTGTGATGGTTGGTTTTATCTGCCAATCTTGAATGCCCTACCAAGAGAGTCACTCTGAGGGATTGTCTAGAGCAGGTTGGCCTGTGGGCACACCTGCGAGGGATTATCCTACTCTGAATTGAGGTGAGAATGTTTACCATCTGTGGGTGGTACCATTCCCTAGCAGAGCCCAAACATGTTCCTGACTATGGACTGTGACTTCCCTGCAGGGATGGGTTGTAATGGTGGTTCTCAACCTTCCTAATGCTGCGTCCCTTTGACACAGTTCCTTGTGTTGTGGTGACTCCAGCCATATTTGCTGCTACTTTATAACTGTAATTTTGCTACTGTTATGAATTGTCATTTAAATATCTGTGTTTTCCCATGGTCTTATGTAACCCCAGTGAAAGGGTTGTTTGACCCTTAAAGGGGTTGTTTGACCCTTAAAGGGGTTGCTTGACCCTTAAAGGGGTTGAGATCCAAGGCTGAGAACCAGTGACTGGACTATAATGTAGAACTATGAAGAAAAACAAACCCTTTCTCTTCTCAGTTGCTTTTGTCACAGTGTTTTATCACAGCGCTGGGAAATGAAACTGAGACATTTCAAAAGTCCTGAACAGGCAGCTCCCCAAAGAAAACAGACAGATGGCAAGTGAGCCTTGGAAAACACAAAATGAAAAAACAAGAAGATGCCACACCATAGCCATGAGAGAGGCCCAAATCCCAAACCTGACACTACCAAATGCCGGCTTGCACATGAAGCAGTCGGAACTCTGTTTATTGCTGGTGGGGATGAATTGTATATATACAATTGAGTTTCTCACAGAAGGAAGTGTATTCTAACTGTACAACTGCACACGCACACTCCCTAGTATTTATTCGCGTGAACTAAAAATGTGTGTGTACCTCCAAAACTGAACAGAAATCTTTATGGCAGCTGAAAGTAGGAAGCTGCCAAGACACCCCTCAGTAAGATGATGTTCATTAAACCGCCGTGCATCCAGACCATGAAACGTTATTTGGTGCGAATGTGAACAAAGTACCGGTTGTCCTGGTTCATGTTTGTGTTGCTGTGATAAAGACCACAGCAAAAAACAAACTGGAGAAAACTGGAGAAGAAGGGGTTTGTTTCATCTTACAGCTAATGGTCCATCCTTGGGAAAAGCCAAGGTTAGAACCCAAAGCAGAGACCAGGGAGGAACACTGTTTTTTGGTTCACTCACGGGTTTGGGTTCGGCTACTTTTCTTAAATGGTCCAGGTCCACATGGCTAGGCTTGGCACCCCCCATTCCCGGCCCCTAAGTGAGCTGAGCCCTCCTTCATCAATTAGCAAACAAGGAAATGACCCACAGATATTCTCACAGGCCAGTTTGGTGGAGACAAAAGAAAAGGGCGTTTATTTCCCTTTTCCCAAGTGTGTCAAGGTGACAGCTAGGATCAGTCATCACAGCAATCAAGCTGGGAAAAGGCACCAAGGATACCCCTGGCAGGGTTGCAACTATGTGACATCCTGGAAAAGTCAAAGCTACAGAGACAGTGAAAAGGTGAGTGACTTTTAGGGGTCTGTGGGGTGGGGGAGGGATGGTAAACAGAGTACAGGTTCATAACAGAGCTTGCGATGATTCCATCAGACACTCCAGTGTTATGTAGACAGCGCTGCACAGCTGTCAGCCTGTAGAAGCGCTACACCCAGGCTACAGCTTAGTGCAGATGATATACATTGTTGCTAATGCTTTGTCAATGTAGCTCACTGATTGTAGCAAACCTGGCACAGTGGTGTGGGGTGCTGACCCTGGCGGAAGTGGAAGCTAGTGGGAACCTGCTCTCCTACTGTGGCTGTGAAGCCAAGCTGCTCAGAAGATAAGGTTCACACTTTCCTATGCTGATATCTTGTTGGTTCTCTAACAGATAAAGCTTGCCTGAAGATCAGAGGGTGGAGTTAGTCACTAGTTAACCACAGAGGTCTGGAGGTCTGTATAGATAAACAGGAAGTGATATGGCTGGGCAGAGAGAGGAATATCAGGCAGGAGGAGTTCAGCCCTTTCTGGCTGAACAGTTAGCAAGGTAAGAGGTGGATGTGGCTTGCTCCTTAGTCTCTCTGATCCTTTGGCATTTACCCTAATATCTGACTCTGGGTTTTTATTATTAAGATCAGCTAGAATTTGAGAGAAGAAGGAAGTAGGGATGCATTCTACAACATGGATGAGCCCAAGACCATTATGTAAAGTAAGAAAGACCAACACAGTCGCAAAGGCCTGTGTTGACACAAATCCATTTAGAGAACGAAAAGCTGCCAAACCTGGAAGTGTGCTGCTGGTATCGTGAGGGTAAGTGCTGCGTTCAGGAGGGTCACAGCTTCTGGGGGCAGCTCCTTTGGGCCGTCAGAAGAGTGACCTACACTGGCTGTGGTTGTTATGGCCATATGTTACAGCCTCTCATGCTGTGTGTTGTGTAAGCTACAACTCAGACAAACTACAGTCTCAGTACGAGCAAATTAAAGGAGAAATGAAGGAAAGAATGGGTAAGAAAGTGGTAAATATTAAACAAAATACAAATGATATAGTATAGAGCCTTAAAACACAGCTGTGGCTGAAATACAGAACAATTATTAAAGGCAAAAGAGGGACACATGGTGTTAAAATTGTCTATAGTCTTTCCACTGCTTGGGAGGACAATGAAGAAAGCAATCAAGTAAATGGCGATAAAAAGGATGTTTGGGTACTCACCAGAAAGGTCCCTGGTGGGCTGGAAATGGTGGCGTGTGCATGTGTCCCAGCTACCCAGGAGCCTAGGAGTTCAAGGCCAGCCTGGGCATCTGTGAGCCCTTTTTTTTTTCATTTTACATAGGGCTTTCAATTAGAAGAGAAAAGCAATCATTTACAAAATCAGCATAGCCAGGTATATGTCTGTAATGCCAGTACTTAGGAGGCAGAGGAAGGGGGATGGCTGTAAATTTAAAGCCAGCTTGGTCAGCTTGGTCTTAGATAGTAACTTAGGCCAGGCAGTGCTACATAGTACTGTGTAAGTACTGTGTCTCAAAACACAAGGAAGAACAAGGAAAATCAATGTCTAAGAGAAGAAGAAACAGTCTAGCTAGTGGGAAAACGCAACTGTTATATAAAATTGTATTAAATGTAAACTGATGAAATATTATATTTAAAAGGTTAAAGCTGCCAGGTTAAGAGTAAATACAAATCTTAGCCATGTTTTATTTATGAGGCTTACTTTTAAAACATAAGAATACAGAGTGGTTGAAAAAAAATTTAATTGGAAGAAAGAAATACTGAAGTGCCAACCAGGAGGAAACCGAATTGTCCCTTCAGTTCCTGTGAAGTAGAGCAAAAGACTGAGCAAGAGCTTATGATCTCATCACTGCACACAGCGGTCTGGATGCACCCGCACTAAGGCACTATGGGCTTTTGTAGCATACCCACAGGATGCAGATGAATCACTGGAACTGTCCAGAGCTCTTTGGGTGATCTCACACAATGCTGAATGAAAATGAAATGGAACAAGACACAAAAAGATGTATGCAGTATGACTCCATTCTTGAAAATATCCCAGACCAGTAGAAACCACACAATTTTATTTAGACATGCTAGGGGATTTACACCATGACATCATCATCAACAACAGCCCTGAACCCCAACTGAGCGATTATCCTCCCACTGGAAGGACCCCTCTCAGCCTTCTCCACTCACTGATTTTCTTTTCTTCTTGCAAAACTCCCAGAGGACTTTGGGCAGGTTCTATACCTAAATGGGTCAAGGTCTGCCCACATAAGTGGGGCAGGGAAAGGAAAGGGCCTGCTGGCCCAGGGCAAGAAGCCCGGAGTCCAAGACTTCATGGGCCACACTTGGAAAGAGCAGAAAGGTCCCGTGAGACCAGGCAACAAAGGCACAGCTGAGGAAGAATAGGGTTTCCTCGCCTCTTCTGGCCTTTACACTGTGGCCCCAACACACCGGACCTGGGGACCTTCCTGGGCGTCCTTTATGCTGTGCTGGCTGTATTTCCTGCCATACCACCTTACCTGCCCCAACCCTGCTGGCTGGCACATGGCCAGCATGGAGTCCTGGACTGTGGCATTCAGGTTCATTTCTTCAAGTGTCAAGAATAAGGAATCCCCTGAGAACGCATGAGGTACATGGCTCTTAGGCTGTTTCTGTAGTTAGGTCAACTTGGAGTAGGATTTTAGCAGAAATATGGCTTTCCCATGGTGATTTCAGCTCAGGCCTGGCCTTCTCTTCCCTGTCTGGGGCTGGCTGAGGAGTCTGGGAGTGGGTACATCCTCTCAGATCATCCATCTCCTGACAAGTTCCTACGACATATCAAGGGTGAAACTGTTTGTCCTTTGATCCCTACATGGTGAGGATAAATGTAACTGTTGTCTCACTCCGAGCCTCCCATCCTCCCCTCTTCCCTTCCTTCTGTCCTCCCCCACCCACCCCAGGGCCCTTCCCTGCCATATCTCCTCATGGTCTTCACTAAGGATCTAAGTCTTGATTTCCATAGGAGAAAAGAGGGGACTGCCAGAGCACTGGGTTGGCAGTTTGCAGTGTGGGCTGAAGGATGCTGGTGGCCAAGAGCCCAGCCAGGGCATCCCCAGGGCATGGCCCTATTGAGATACTGCTGTTACCCTGGCTTCCACTGATCCTGGAAAACTCCACCCTCAACCCTTTCTCGCTGCTGACCCGCCCCATCTCGCTGCTGCCCGCCCCTTTCTTGCTGCTTCCTGGCCCTGCCTCGCTGCTGCCCAGCATTCAAGGCCCCCAATGCTACAACTCTAGGAAAGACTTCTGCTCTCTCTGTCCCTCATCCAGCTATGTCTCGGATATGTCAGATATGGTCACTTCACAGGCTGTGGGTCCCGGGGAAACATGTCAGTTGGCTTCAGGTAGACAGACAGGGCTCATCAGGACTCACAGCAGCTATCTCCCCAGGACCAGGAAGGTGTCTAAGACACCGGTACACAGAAATCAAGGAGTGTACCGTTCACCATGGCACAACCTCCAACGCTGGTATTGGAGAAGAGCCTGGGCACAGTCCTGAGAAGAGAGGAGGGATGCATGGTCCATTGCAGGACAGGGCTCACAGTCCCACAAGGAAGACAGCGAATGCAGCTTTGCTTGCCCCACCTACAAAACAGGAAGACAGGTAAGCATTCTCACCCAAAAAGTTTGGGACCAGAAGTGTTTCAAATTTTGCAGTTTTTTTTTTTTAAAAAAACTTGGTATATTTTCATAAACACAATGGCACATATTGGGGAATGGACCGAAGTCCAAACATGAAATTTATTTATTTCATATACACTGTGTGTACAGGACCCTGGAGAAGATGTTACAGAACTTATAATTAGCTATGTGCATGAGACAGCCTTAAAGGATGGGGCTTCCCTTTGCACTTCATGTTGTGAAGTAGTTCTTTTTCTCTGTTTTTTTTTTTTAAAGATTTACTTATTTATTTCTGTGCTTGTATAACTTTGCCAGAAGAGGTCATCAGGTTCCACTATAGATGGTTGTGAGCCACCATGTGGTTGCTGGGAATTCAGGAACTCAGGACCTCTAGAAGAACAGCCAGTGCTTTTGACCATTCAGCTGTCTCTTCAGCCCAGTTCTATGGATCATTTTCTCAGTTGAGATTCCCTAATTCCGGATGACTCAAGCTTGTGTCAAGCTGACATAAAACTAGCTAGCATGGTATGAAGGATGAGATTACTACATGCAAACTGCTTTCTGCTGTGTGGTGTGTATAGGACCCTGGACCAAATGCAGGCCTTAGCACTAAAGAGGCCATGCCACACAGCTGTCAGGATGCTGTCACCCCCAATTTAGAGTCACAGAGTCCCATCTATACCTTTTGAAAGGCAGAACAATTTGGGGTTAAAACATCAGGCTCTGAAGCCAGTATGCTGGGCCCCAAACCCATTCAGATACAAAGCTAGGGGCCCTTGAGTAACTTATTTTAATTGCTCCATGCCTCAGTTTCCCCATCTATGACAGGAATCATCATAAATTACCTCATAGAGTTACTGTGAAGATTCAACAAATTGGCTGCTAAAACTATCTCCGAGCCATGTGTGGCATGCTACTATAATCTCCGGAAGTGTTCATAGCTTATTTTCTAGAGCCCCCCCATAGGCACAAAGACTGGAAATCCAGAGAGATTTGTGCTACATGGATACACTAATTGCAAGTAACTATAAGAGATCATGCAGCATACGAAAGGACCTGCGTCCCTCAGATCGCATGCAACTATGAGCTTTAGTGTAGACAGAGGTGTGAAGGGCTGACTGGCTTCTCTGAGTGGTGAGACTGTAGGGGAGTCTCTCCTCTTTCTACTCTCCCACGTAACAGACCTAGACTATTGCAACCAGCAGAGCCCTAGAGAGGGTTCTCAGGGGAAAGTTTTCCTTTCCTGGTGCTGTGATAAAATGCCCCAACAAAAGCAGCTTAAGGGAGAAAGGGCTTAAGCCCGGCTCGCAGCCAGAGGAACAGCCCATCATGGCAGAGGGGAGGCAAGGTGCAGAGGCTTGAGGCACCTGGTCTCATGACGCCCACAGTCAGGAATAGATGCACTGAGTGCTTGTATTCAGTTGGCTTTCTCCATTTTCTGCAGTCCAGGACTTTCTGCCTAGGGAATGGTGCTGCCCACAGTTAAGAGTCTTCACCCATCAATCAACATATTCACACGTCATCAAGACAACCCCCACAGGTACACCCAGAAACCCATCCCCCAGGTTATTTTAGACCCTGTCAAGTTGACAACCAACCCTAGCTATCATAGTGGTTGTGGTAACCAGGACTGTTTATGGACTCCAAACTACCCAACCACCATAAAACAGGTCCTCTAAGTCACTGACAAGGTGTTGAGGCAAGGAAGATGGTTTCACTCCAAAATCAGCTGCAAAGAAGGCAGAGGACTGAGGCTCGAAGTTCTTCATTTTTCCTGGGGACAGCCAGGAGCCCCTAAGGTGGGGGGGGGGGCTTAAGGAAGTAGGAGAAAAAAAGGTATAGAGGAAATCAAGCAGTTATTTTCAATAGCAGACCACAGGTGTCACGAAGATCAGCTGCCTTGGGTGGATACTGTCCAGACCTCCTGAGCTTTCTGTAACTCAAGCAGTTGTTAGCATGATGAGATGACATCGTCGGTCGCACATTAGCAGACCAGACACTTCCTGCTGCCTGTGTGAGAGAGTGCAGGCTGCTTGAAGGCTGTGTGAGATGTGGGCTCTGCTGTCTTCTCGGATCAACCAGCTTGTCAGTAGGGAGCTGCTTCAGGACGACAGCCGAGTGACCAGCAGGAGAGCAGCTCATTCAGTTGGGATGTGCCACATAGAGGAATGACTCCATTTCCAGGGGGCAAGCCAGGAGATCTTGCCACATGACTCAGAAGATCTTGCCGTTTAAAACATGATTGCCTGTCTCCGAATTTCCTGTTTGATACCTTGGGATCATGGTTGGCCTGTGAGGACCTGGGCTGTGGAAAACAAAACCACAGACAATGGGCGGGCTATCATAGTGGTTCTTGTGGCCAGAATATGTTGAAGCTGGGAGTATGTGGGCTCTTTTGTTTGTTTGTGTCAGGCCCGTGATTCCTTCCAACAATCCCATGTGGTGGTTACTGCTGCCCCCTCCCACCCCAGCTAATGTACTGGGAAGCTCCACCCTTCAATCACATGTGGTGGTAGTTGGAGGTAGGGCTTTGGGGATGTAATTGATGCTAGAACAGACCGTGAAGTAGGGCGTCTGTGATGGCATTAGTGGCTTTACAGGCTGAGGAAGCATTATGTGCTGCCCATTTTCCTTCCTTCCTTCCTCCCTCCCTCCTTCCCTCCCTCCCTCCTTCCCTTCCCTTCATCCTTCTTCTTCTTCTTCTTCTTCTTCTTCTTCTTCCTCCTCCTCCTCCTCCTCCTTCTTCTTCTCCTTCTTCTCCTTCTCCTTCTTCTCCTTCTTCTCCTTCTTCTCCTTCTTCTCCTTCTTCTCCTTCTTCTCCTTCTTCTCCTTCTTCTCCTTCTTCTCCTTCT